GTAATTTTTAAAAATTTCTTTTCTGTCCAGGAACCCGAGTTCATTCCTTATTTTTTCTTTTGATAATTAAGGATGTGTTTTTAGCTAAAAAAAAAAAAAAAGACAACAGACTCTGAAGCCAGAAGGCCTGGGTTTGAATCTCAGCTCTGTCACTTACCAACTGCGTGACCTTGAGCAACGTATGGAACTTCTCTGGACTTCAGCTTCAACTGTGGAGGAGATATCATAACACCTTCCTACTGGATCTGTGGTGCAGAATTGAATGGATTAATGAATTAAAACACAGAAAGTGCTTGGCACGAGGCCTGAAAAAATGTTACGTTCTCAATACATGGAGACCATTATTATGGCTTCTAGGAAGACAAATTCCTGGATCAAAAGTTAATTCACATTATGACTTTCAGTAAAAATAAACCACAGTGGATGCAGGTAGTTTAGGGTCTGAAGTGCCTACAAAGTTGGAAGCCCTCTTGAAAAAGAGAGTAAAAAAAAGTATAAGACAAGAGTACCTCCCAGGGTGTTGGATAGAGTGCTGGCTCCGTTGGATGAGGCATCTGGAGGCTCACGCTTCAACACCTCACAGAAAAGCCACGTCTGATACTGGCAGCTCAGCAAAGAAGCTGTGCCCACTTCACTCCCCCAAGCAAGGCCAGAGTGCATGTTTCCCCACAGCCTCGCTGACACTGTGTTTTATCACTTTTGATCTTCACCAATCTGATGGCCCAAGGGTGGTGTAGTCTGAGTCACTTCTCCCTGGCTAAAAAGTCACATTTTCACACACATACATATATGCATATATTCATTGCTTGCTGGGGTGGAGAGAAAGAGGGATGCTGAAAAGTACAATAAGATTCTCTCTTTGCTCATGTCTGTGTTGTTAAAAAAAAAAAAAAGTGAGGGGTGCCCAGGTGGCTCAGTCGGTTAAGCGTCTGACTCTTGATTTTGGCTCAGGCCATGATCTCAGGGTCATGGGATCCAGCCCCACATTAGGCCCCACGCTCTGTGCAGAGTCTGCTTAGGATTCGCTCTCTGAGGGGCGCCTGGGTGGCTCAGTCGTTAAGCATCTGCCTTTGGCTCAGGTCATGATCCCAAGGTCCTGGGATCGAGCCCCGCATCAGGCTCCCTGCTCCGCGGGGGGCCTGCTTCTCCCTCTCCCACTCCCCCTGCTTGCGTTCCCTCTCTTGCTGTGGCTCCCTCTGTCAAATAAATAAATAAATAAAATCTTTAAAAAAAAAAGATTCTCTCTCTTCCCCTCTCCCTACCCACCCCTTCCTCCCCCTCTCTAAAAAAAATAAAAAGAAGGAGAAGAATCCAAAGTTCAGCTAAACTACCCCGACTGGGCAGCTCCCTGGAGCCAAGACACTGACCCAAGCCCCAGATGGTTCTGATTTCCTCGCCCCTCCCAGCCCACCAAGGAGGTGAGCGATCTCACTATCATTTTAGAGATGAAGACACAGCCCCAGACAGCCAATGGTGCTGGCCCTCAGTCACCCAGCTACCCAGCAGCAAACCTGGGATTTGCACCTGGGGCCACCTGACCACAGGGATGCCATGTGGAGGGCAGGTAAGAGCGTGATCTCTGGGACCAGGCTGCCGACTTCAGATCCCAGATCTGCCACCTGGGCTGTGGGACCCTGGGGAAGTTACCTAACTTCTCTGAGCTTTAGTGCCCTCATCTGTAAAATGACAATAAGAGCGCCTATCCCATCAGGCTACTGGAAGGTGTGGTGAGCTGCGTAGCGGCCCCCAAAGATGTCCACATCCTAATCCCTGGAACCTGTGAATGTTAATTTACATAGCAGGAGGGACTTTGCAAATGGGATTAAGAATCTTGACATGGGGTGGGGGGGCGCCTGGGTGGCTCAGTCGGTTGGGTGTTTGACTCTTGATCTCAGCTCAGGTCTTTTTTTTTTTTTTTTAAGTTTATCTTATTTATTTATTTATTTATTTTTTAGAGAGAGAGAGCAGGAGGGGCAGAGGGAGAAGGAGAGAGAATTCCAAGCAGGCTCGATGATCAGTGTGGAGCCCATCTTGGGGCTCAATCTCACAACCCTGAGATCATGACCTGAGCCAAAATCAAGAGTCGGACACCTAACCAACTGAGCCACCCAGGTGCCCCTAAGTCCAGGTCTTGATCTCAGGGTCATGAGTTCGAGTTCCACATTGGGCTCCATGCTGGGCATGGAGCCTACTTAAAAAAAGAGAGAGAGAGAGAGAGAGAGAATCTTGAGATGGGGCGATGATCCTGGACCATTTGGAGGGGCCCACTGTAATCCCAAGGATCCTTATAAGAGGGAAGCAGAGGGAGATTTGACACAGAACACAGGTGACATGTTATGTGGCTGGCACTGAAGGTGGAGGAAGGACCCACAAGCCAAGGAATGCAAAGAATACAGCTGGGAAATGTTTCAAAAAGGTCAGGAGATGGACTCTCCCCTAGAACCTCCCCAGGGAGTGTGGCCATGCTAACACCTTGATTTGGGCCCAGGGAGGTTGCTTCTGCATCTGGGACCCCCAGAATTGTAAGAGAATAAATATGTGTTGTTTGATGGCAGCAAGAGTCTTAGAACAGTGCCTGGAACACAGCAGATGCACTTAACAGTTACTCTTTTTTTTAAGATTTATTTATTTGAGAGAGAGACAGAGAGCACGGGGGGGGCGGGGTTTGAAGGGCAGAGGGAGAGGGAGAGAGAAACTCCAAGCAAACTCTGCCCTGAGTGCAGAGCCCCACACTGGGTACGCTCTCATGACCCCAACATCAATCAGGAGCTGAGCCGAAACCAAGAGTCCGTCGCCTAACCCACGGAGCCACCCAGGCGTCCCTTAACTGTTACTCTTGTAATTACCTGAAACACCCCTGGCCAGCCCATGGCCTCTGGCAAAAGTCACTGTCACGGATGTTTGCTGCTTTATTGGTTAAAAGGCTGCTGTCTTTTCATTCACATCAGGGGCCTGATAGGCCTTGTTTATGCCCATTTTACAGAGAGGAAAACAGGCTCACCGAGGCTCCCCTGCACAGTGGGTCACAGCCACTCCAGTGGCTGCCATAACCAACGGCCACACATTGTGTGATTTATACCAGCAAAAGTGGGGCGCCCGGGGGGGCACAGTCGGTTAAATGTCCAACTCTTGGTCTCGGCTCAAGTCGGGATCTCAGGGTCGTGGGATTGAGCCCCACATCGGGCTCTGCACTCAGCGTGGAGTCAGCTTGGAGATTCTTTCCCTAGCCCCTCTGGTCCTCTCCCCGCTCACGGGTGCTCTCTCTCTCAAACAAATAAAATATTTTTAAAAATTTAAAAACAGCAGAAGTGTATCTTCACAGTTCCGGAGGCCACAGTCTGAAATCAGAGTGTGGGCAGAGTTGCCCCTCCCAGAGGCCCTGAGGGAGGATCTGTGCCAGGCCTCTCTCCTAGCTTCTGGCAGTGGTCGGCAATTCTTCGCGTTCCTTGGCTGGTACACGCGTCACTCCGATCTCGGCCTGGGTCTTCACGTGGCCTCCCTCTCTGTGGCTCTGTGTCTTCTCCTTTTCTGTCTCTTCCAGGGACACCTGTCATGGGGTGTAGGGCCTCCCCTGCTCCCCGGATGATCACATCTCAAGATCCTTAATCGAGGTACATCTGCAAAGACCCTTATTCCAGAGAAGGTCACGTTCCCAGGTTCCAGCGAAGGTATCTTGGGAGCCACAATTCAACCCACGACGGTGGTGGCAGGGCCAGGATTGGAACCCAGTCCCAGGTCTTGCGAGCCTTCACATGGCCCAGCCCTCCATAGAGCCCTTCACACCAAAAGACGCTGCCCAGGACCCAATGGAGCCGATCTTAAGAAATGTTGCTCCAATGAATGGATAAAGAAGCTGTGGTATATATACACAATGGAATATTATGCAGCCATCAAAAGGAATGAGATCTTGCCATTTGCAACCACGTGGATGGAACTAGAGGGTATTATGCTGAGCGAAGTAAGTCAATCAGAGAAAGACATGTATCATATGACCTCACTGATATGAGGAATTCTTAATCTCAGGAAATAAACTGAGGGTTGCTGGAG